TTCTTCCAATCAATTCTTTGTCAAATGTATCATATTCTTGTTATAGAAATCATGTCCAAAATTATACTCTGCAAGAGCGTGAAAACTCGGACCATGTGACTGATGAGATAACATTTGATTTATGAATTGGGAGGAGAAATATAGCAACACCACGAGCTAAGATAGTGTCTAATTGGTCAAAACATCATTTGGGATGTGGCCAACAACCCGGTTTAAATACTCAGGACACCATCAAATCATGGCTTTTAGCATCTAGCTTCTTAGCTTTAGCTTCTAGCCACTGCTTCAAGTCATCACTTTTAGCCATGCGGCTTTTTAGTCATAGCTTTGAGCTATGTTTTTTTTAGTCATCGCGGTTTTTTAGCTATTTAGCTTCATGTCTATGCATTTTCACATATTGCTATAAACTTGGAATCTCACATTTTCATTCTCTTAAACTCATTCTTTCCTTACTTTCTATCTTCCTGCAACTTGTGTGAATGTGTGAGTGCGTGTGTTTATGTGTTAGACTAGTTTATATGTCTTAGATTTATCCAATAAAGTCTTATTGATATTGAAAAGAGTCTTAAATGATTCCCTTTGAGCTAAACTGACCTGTTTCCCTTACAAGGACTGACTGAAACAGTTCCAGTCGTATGCTCTGCCTGCCCCCCGTCAGTTCCAGAAGAATTGCAGCCTCGCTAGTCGCTACCTTCGGTACCATCGGTACTTACGCTACTGAAGAAAAACTACTGAAGAAAAACGGCATAATTTTAAAATGTTTATACCGACTTGGTAGCGTAGTATCGGTTCTCATGACATCCCTAGTCCCCAGTGACTTCCATAGTATTTTTTTCTTTTGGACCGGGTGTAGCTGAATGCTTCCCCAGTGCTCCCATTTGAAGCACTGTTTTTGTTTTACACCCTGACAAAACAAAGGCACTGATGAATTTTAAGATTAGTCAGTGCAATTTTCTTTCTTTTTAAACTAGAGGTCGACCGATTGATCGGTTTTGCCGATTAATCGGCACCAATAGTTGATTGCTGGAACTATCGGTTAAAGGCAAAAATCCAGGGTTGCCACCCTTTTTGGGGAGGCTGAGAAGGGTCTGCTGTTATTATACAGTACGAGCGCGGACTCTAGAGGCGGAAATCACTGACACCTTGTGTTGTTTGTTTTGACACGTGACACAAGCAGGAAACTTCAGACGTGGATTTAAATGCAGCCGACAGAAAATCCTGCCACACCACAGTGCACCATTCACATAGTTTTCCATGAAATTACATTATATTTGTCCAAAACTGTTGCTAATGTACATAATGACTTCACCCTAGGCTGTAAAATTGTTTATTGTGCATTTTTCAGTGAAACATTTGTCTTTCTGTGGCTCTAATAAAGTCTAATTGTTGTATACATACAATATCCATATGTATGTAATTTAAATTCTATGGCCTTTGTGTAGACATTTAAAGATGGCCATCTTTAAGCATGACTGTTGAAATTAAATGGAAATTTATTCCATTAATTTCAAATTAATGAAAGCTGTAGAAGTATTGTTGCTTGTTAGAGTGTGTTAATCAACATTTACTATTACTAATACATTTTTTAATTTTAATTTAGCTTCTGTTAACATTAGTTAATAAACTATGAATTAACTTTAATGATCAATAATTAATATTCATATTTTTATTCATTTACAAAGTATGGTTCAGTTCTGTTTTTTTTAAAATAGTAAAGCACTATTTTAGTTTTTGTTCAGTATCCATTTTAAAAACTATCGGTTGATTAATCGGTATCGGTCAGTGTGGTCCAACCTAGCTATCGGTATCGGTAAAATCCACTATTGGTCGACCTCTAATTGAAACAGTTCAGATCTTGCCTCACGTGGTGGAAATACAAAACAGAAGACCAAACAATTCGAATGCAGTGCTGAAATGGGCCAGAGCTACATAAGGTCTACAAATGTTACAGATTTAGGCTGATGATACACAGGGCAACTTTTTGAGCAATTTTTCCGGGCAACAATGTTGCTTGGGCACTTTTCCATTGAGAATGGGTAACAACTGTCTATCTGGATACCTTAAATCGGTCGTGGGCCCTGTGTCTCACCTGGTTGCCCGTTGACAGCAACATTGCCCAAATTTGCTCAGCAATATTGCTCAAAAAGTTGCCCCGTGTATCATCAGCTTTACAGTTTGAGCAGGACCTGGTTACAGCTAGTTTCCAAATGGTAACTGTGCATCCAAACCACTATACAGGGATGTGAAAAATGGCCAATGAATGTGTTTTTGCAAAAAGCTGTAGTTAGAATTATTATTTAGAAATAGCAACTATTAAAAACAAGAACTAATCTAATTAAGAGCTTAAACTCATATCTGATCAAATTGAATCTGAAACGTGCTTCTATAAATGCTAATTTAACTTGTGTGTGTGGACACTGACTCTCTCTGAATCTGACTGGGGTTGATGGTCACCAGATCCGTCTTCAGCCCAACATCACTGTCATTAATCGACGCCAAATTAAACCTGAAACAGAGAGAAAACCTCATATTAACAGGAAGGATGCATGATTACTGATGGAAGTGTTGAGGGAGCAAGGCATGATGGGATGTGTTTACCGTATGACGAAGTCTGCGCTGTCGATCTCACGTCCACAGCTGCTGTTCTTCAGAATCCCACCACTGCCAACCACTGCACACCGACCCAGACGACGACCGCTCCAGGGGAAATCCTGCACACACACATAAAAATGTTTATCACTTTTGATAGTGTCAGGGTTATGTTCTGTTTTGGTTTTGTTTTCAGTGTTCTGTTCCTCTTCGCCTGTGTTCCCAGTTACCTGAGTTCCCTAGTTACTGTAGTCTCCTTGGTTGTCCATTAGTTCCACGCACCTGCTTCAGTTCTGTTAATTAACCCTGTTTATTTAAGCCCTGAGTTTTCTTCAGTTCCTGGTCCAATCTCATTTATGTTATATGTGGCTGTTGATTCCTAGTGTCCACCGGCAGATTTATCATTAAATATAGTAGTCAACATTTCAAGTGGATCAAAAAAGTTCATCAAAGTTGTTCTAAGACAAGAACGCGTTTTAGGTTTTAGGACAACTTTGATGAAACGTTTTGATCCACTTCAAATGTTGACTACTGTACTATCTATTTGTATCTTTATAGTTTTGTGCTCGTTACTCCAGCCACCTAATGGGCCTCATCAGGGCCGTTTCTAGCCAATTTGATGCCCTAGGCGAAATCCCTATTGCCCCCCCCCCCCGTGTGATTCACGAAACACTCGTATGACGCCAATCTCATCTTACGAATGATTGCACGTTGATAAATGTGGCGGCAGAAAACAATCGTCATTTGAATATCACGCCCCTAAAAACACCCCGGTTTAGCACAAATGTTGCATACTGTTGTCCAGAATACGCATGCAGTATAAGGCAAAGGCATAGGCCAAGTTTGGTTTCACTTTCACTTGCTTACATATTAATGATGATGACACGAGCCAATAGAACAAAATGTTTTAAGGCGAGACACTGCAGGTGAATAGGGTAAAAAAAATAACTAATAGTTATCGCCTTATTTACCCAGTTGATGGATTACATTGATAATTGCAAACATTTTTTGTATTACACGTTTTCTGAGATTGTCCAAATATTCTTACTTCCCTATATAGTATACATAAAGCTGTACGTCAAATGAGTAGCCTAAACTGTCTTCATAGTCAGTATTCATTTTACAGTTAGCAAACAATACCCAAATGACATACTGCTTCTCCTAAGATTCTAAATTATGCAATCTACAATTTAGAAACTTCGCTATTCCATAAGGTCACAGCAGCTCGAGCTTTCATCAGGCCTGAATTAACCATACAGTATATCAGTTCTGCTCTTGTCCAAGGGCCCCACATCCAGGAAGACACCGTGCAGGGCTGTATGTAAGTCTACACCTGCATACCAACAGAACGCCCTTCGTCAATGGTTAAAACGTAGGTTCTTCATTAAATTGAGTATCGTATAGTCTAACGACACAGCTCATATCTAAAGTAAACATAAATAACACATAACACTGTTTTGAGAACCACTTGGAAATCCTTGTTCATTTCCATACATGTTTTCATATGAAGAGAGATAAAGACTGAAATGTTTTCATGTTTTCACCCATATCTCACTATGAAGAGAGACTGAAATTCTCTATGAAATAGACTGAAATAGTGTTTTTGAAAACAATTTGATTTTGGGATATCAAAAAAGTGTTTTTTAATATTCCTTCCTTTGTCCTGTGTATAGAGTAGTGGAAAACAGGCAGGGCTGTTTCTAGCCAATTTGACGCCCTAGGCGAAATCCCTATTGCCCCCTTTTGCTTGTCACATTCAAATTGGTTGTCATAGTAACGACACTAATTTGTGGAGATTCCGTGCATTGAGTTCCACAAATCTGAATGCATTATTTGTAAATTGACTGTTAAGATAAACATTTTGCACAATTTAGTATCTGTAATATCATTGTGTTGCCACTAGATGCCTGTATAGCCCTATGTAACAATCCCTAGTGGCTAAGACATTGGACATAATTTACACATAAATCACACATAAATTAATTTTATTACATTTTGATTTGGATACTATACTACTACATATTGTTTAGATATTATCAATGGCTACTTTTTTGTCTTCATCTGTTTTTTGTTAATTTTTTTTGTTGTTGTTTCTTGCAACATTGATTTAAAGTGTCAGTTATTGCATTATTATTTAAGTCAAACCTATAAAACCCCTTTGTTACCCCAAACTACATATAAAAGCTTTATCAGTGGCATAAAAGTAACCAATGCAGCTACTTAATCATTTGCTACTCGTTAACGCGTTAACGCGTTAACTTCCCCTTTAAATAGCGTGACGCTCTGCCCTCTATGACGCTGCTCCCATTAAGCGCTGTTGGAAGTGAATGAATTGATTCAGCATTTCGACACCTCCGTAAGGATGCATTTAACTCGACAAAGCGGTCTAATAAAGGATGTATTGATCTCGTGAATTAAGCACAGTGTTTTTTTCCCTGTTGTGAATCTGTTAATTATATTATAGCGTATTATATATGTTGTGTGATCCTATTTATTTTATTCCTTTTATAGACTTAATTTCTGTTTTTCTCCTTTCACAGAATCGCTGCAGGTGCATGATGCGACGATTGAATCCTTGTGGTCTGTTGTTTACGCTGCTATTCGCACATATAGCTAAAGCCCTGTATAAAACAACAACAAAAAAAAGACATTCTAATCTTACTGGTTAACGATCGACTAATGAGCTTCGTTTCAAAATACTGTCATTCTACAATTCTCCTTTTCTATGCTGCGCGCAAGTTCAGGTAACTCAAAAACTTGCGTACACGAGCTGAGACCAGACGTGAGATTTGATCGTAG